TGCATCTCCTCCCCTCATCCTCAAAGACAGCTTCTCAAGGGTAAGGGGTAGTCCATCTCCACTCCAAATCCCCCATCAGCTGACTTGACAAACCTTTACATGCCCAACATAGCATGCCAAATGTAGCACCGCCTGCAAACCCAGCATCCCTGTGTTTTCCACAAGAACATGGAATAGGTGCTCAGTGGACTAGTGTGGATTAATCGCTCCTTAGCACCTAGAAGGCCACAGAGCTTCCTCTTTTCCCTTTCAAGGGACTCTTCCCATGCAAGTGCTGCACACAGAATGCTGCCATGACTGTCCTTCCTGGAGCTCTTATTATGCGCCAACTGCTGCTCCAACCAGAGCTTGGGGTGAACATGATGCTTACTTCACAGGATGATGGAGAGGTCTAAATGGCATAATGTGAGTGACTTGCTCACGTTAGCTTCTACCACCATGATGATGAAGACCGCAATGATGATGGCAAGTACTCAATTAGTTTTTAGAGGACATACATTTGAGGCCTTCATGGAGTTATGCCTGACTGCAGCAGAACCAGAAACTCAAATCAGGAGAGTTTTGGCTCCTTCCAATCCAGTTGCAGAGCCACAGGCATCCCTTTGTTCCTGTAGGATCCTGGAGAGACGAGGAAATTGTGTGGGTTACATGGGTACAGAGAGTGGCTCACATGTGCCTTTGGCTCCTCCCCATCTCCAGCTCTCCCCACCTCAGCCCCCACATTGGTCAGTTCTGTCTTATCTCCTCATGAAGCCCTGATCAGCTTTGCTTTTGGTTGGCTGCTAAGTAATTTCCTATCCCTTTCAGCCTCTGAGTCCCCAGCTTCCACTCTGGCCAGTAGATGACAAAGAAAGATTTCAGATGATAACCTCCCCAAGCATGTTCTTTTCTCGTAGAGCGATGAGAATACCTTCAAATCTCCAAAGAGTGCATCCCTAAAGGTGGAATTTCAGTAGATGCTACTTATACTCTTTTATATGCAAGTGTTAAATGCATACATCTATGACCCATTTTCTTTCCAAAGACTGAAAGAGGCTTACATTAGGACATATTCAACGAACCTTAAAGATTAAAGAGAAAAGCTTAAGATCATATTGTGATCAGGTGGGGAAGGTGGGAGGGGGCAACAATATTCCCTAATCAGCCAGTGTGATTGGTGCAGCTAAGAATTCCATTGAACCCCAACCTGCCTGCTAAATGGGGCAAATCATCTGGGAAGGAGACCCATCCTTCAATTCCTGAACACATAGCCATTGCTACCTGGAAAAGATGGCTCCGAGAGTTTTAATTAGGCATGAGGTAGAGCGAGATCAATAGCTTGTACCTTCTCTTGGAGGCTGATGCTGGGGAAACAAGGCTCTGCAATAACTGGTCAGTTTCCAGAGAAGTGCTCAGTACCATGAGGACGGATGTGGAAGCGCTGATGTGGTATAGTTCAGTGGACACACGGAGCAGCTTAGATGAACAGGGAGAGGGGTCTTACTTGAAAGAGAAAGAGAGCAGACAGTTCCTTCACGAGGAGAATATGTGTGTGTGTGTGTGTGTCTGTGTGTTGTGTGTGTATGTGTGTGTGTGTCTGTGTGTGTTGTGTATGTGTGTGTCTGTGTATATGTGTCTTGTGTATGTATGTATCTCTGTGTGTATGTGTGTTGTGTGTGTCTGTGTGTTGTGTGCATGTCTGTGTGTTGTGTGTGTGTGTGTGTCTGTGTGTGTGTGTCTGTGTGTGTGTGTTGTGTGTCTGTGTATTTGTGTGTGTGCGCGCACACACCGACTCATGTCCAGACTCATGTCCAAGGTATTCTTTCTGCTATTAAAGCAAGAAACGATTTCCATTCTAAAGGTGACCCTCGTCCTCACTTGGAGCCTGGCCCTGGCCCTGGGTGCAAGCCACAGTCGCCACAGCGGTGCTGTCCTCTCCCTTGCAGACATCTAAGACAAAGAAGACACACAGCTGAGGAAGGCGAGATGCCTTTTAAAAATTAGACAACATCTTTGAGGGTTTATTTCCTTTATCTCTAGACCTACATCCATTAACCTACACTCAGAGACAATCGCTGCCACTGTTCAGGAAGCCAGCTCAAATGGGTCGAAACTGCCATTGTATATCCAGGAAAGACAGACACATGACGGAGATTTTTTTTTAATGCCAGTTTCCAGGGAACCAGCTTCTGCTGAATGCAGCCTGATAGAAATTCAAGATAAAACTCTCACGGATTCTGCCCATCCATAAAGTGCCACTTAACAGACAATTTGCACCGTCTGTGAACCGCTCCCATCCGCTAAGCTTCTTTTTTAGCTGTTGTAAACTCTATCTCATCAAACTCTTATCTTTTACCTATACAGAGCCGTACTTTAAATGATAAATTTCAGGGAAAACGGAGGAGGGACGGCGTTTCAGGAATAACTGGGACCAGGGAGATGAGTGTCTTAGGAAGATGAAGATCTCAGTCCTGAACCGTGACTCATGGGAGCCTGGCTGATCTTCGCTCTCACAGGACTTCTCGCTGCTATGACACATTTGCACGGTGACTCCTGGTTCTTTTCCAGGCATCAATGTGAATGTCCATTTTCTTTTGGAATGGCTGTCTCTTCAAACTGTTACAATACACATGGGTTTTCTTTTCTGGCTTTTCTTGTAAGTTGCTGCCTATAAAAAAGGGGGAGAAGAGAGAGAGAATGAGAGAGAGAGAGATTGTCTTCCAAAGGTTGTTTTCTTACCCTCTGTTGCTTAAACAATCATTTTCTGTGTTATTGAGGAAAACCCAAAGCTGTCAGCTTCCCTGGACTTCAGGTCTCCAGCAAACTCACCTCCTCCCTCCCCTGGTTTCACCCCCATCTGCTTATAATTTAATGTTCTGTATGTTTTAATCATTTCATTAGGCATGTCCTTATTTTGAAATGCAACTAATTCTTCAGTTCAAACAAACAGCCAGTAATTCTAAAAATGAAACCATTCTTTTCTTTCAGTTAGAGATTGGCTTAGAAGAAATATCACACCTATTTTGAGATGGGTGAAAGAACTCAAATGCCACTAGTTTTTTTTAAACCACTGGCTTTTAAAAGTGGAAATGATCTTAGAGATTGCTTCATTTTCTCCACAGATATGGAACTAACTTTTGGGAATGTTTTCTCGTGTCTTTTTGAACAGTTTGTGATAAAGTCATTCTTATTAAGGTTTCTCTTAATACGGATTTGTAAAAATTATGTCATAAAATACTTCATTTCTGTACTTGGTGACAATAGACATGAAAGAGAAAGTGACTCCACTATAGGACTTGTATGTTTATTAATTTGTTTTCTTTACAGGAATTTACATTTATTAAGGCAAGGAGAATCATATTTTTCTATAAGGGGAAAGATAGTTTGCAAGATGTTTCATGTGATTTTCCCCCTGACACTCAGATTTATTCTATATCAAGAAATGAAGTTTCTGGGCCAGGCGTGGTGGCTCACGCCTGTAATCCCAGCACTTTGGGAGGCCTAGGCAGGCGAATCACCTGAGGTCGGGAGTTCGAGACCAACCTGACCAACATGGAGAAACCCCGTCTCTGTTAAAAATACAAAATCAGCCGGGCATGGTGGTGCACACCTGTAATCACAGCTACTCAGAAGGCTGAGGCAGGAGATCTATTGAACCTGTGAGGTAGAGGTTGTGGTGAGCTGAGATCACGCCACTGCACTCCAGCCTGGGCAAAAAGAGCAAAACTCCATCTCAAAAAAAAAAAAAAAAAAAAAAAAAAAAGAAGCTTCTGAAATTGCAGGAGCATACAACTGCCCCCCTTATCTACGGGGATACATTCTTCCAAGACCCCCAGTGGATGCCTGAAACTGCAATAGTACCAAACCCTACAAATACTGTGCATGAATTTCTTTTTTTCCTTACCATTCTTGGGTAGGCTGGTCCAAGGGCAGTGGTGTTTACAACTAGTTGATCACAATCCATGGGTAGAAGATTCGTTCTTACTGTAGATCTTAGCAATGTCAGCATATAATTTTTTTCTTTCCTTATTAAGTTGATAACTTTCACCTTTTCACTTCAAGGAAGCATTTTATGGCTTCTTTTTTGGCATATGCAAATTGTCAGCATCATTACTCTCAAGCTTTGAGGCTATTATATAACAAAATAAGGGTTACTTGAACACAAAGCACTGGGAAATGGTGACAGTCGATGTGATAACTGAGACAGCCAGCGTGTGACTGATGGGAAGGTACCTTAGACAGTATGGATATGCTGGACAAAGAGAAGATTCCCCTCCCAGGTGGGACAGAGCAAGAGGGTGAGAGATTTCAGCACGCAACTCAGAATGACACGCAATTTACAACTTATGAATTGCTTATTTCTGAAATTTTCCCTTTAGTTTTTGGGGGCCACAAACTGACCACAGGTAAGTGAAACCATAGAAAAGAAAACCTCAGAGAAGGAGGAGCTAATGTATTTAGTTTTAACATTATATCAATGACCCAACTGGGCAACATAAAAAGTCTTTATTTTCTGATACTTGCATTACTTTCTGGTAATAAAATGTCCCTTTCAGTATTTTAGAAGAATGAGTCACATTTCGCACATAGTACTAGACACTTAATAGATGTTTGTTGAAACATTTGTAGATAAGTGGGTAGATACACGCTGACATTTAACGATGTGCCTTATAATTCAGCTTTAAGTGCCAATGTTTACTAACGGTGATGCATGAATACAATAGCACAAATTCTGATGTAGCCCCCTCACTGAAAATTTCCCCCTACTTCCAAAACGTAAACCGGGACCATTTAAGTTTCCGTATAAGGATTGAACTGGTAACAACGTAATAGTGAAGTTGTCTTGGACCAATTGTTGGAGGACGCCTTTGGTACCTTTATGGAGAACGGGAAGCCTTTGCGTGTGGCTGACACAAATGGTTGTCACACGCCATCTAGTGGCCATCTGTGAAACTGTGCCTATGCCGTGGGAAAGGCTTTTGGAACGAGCTTGATTGCTCCGAATTTCAGTGCCTATCGGACAGCCAGGGCACATTTGTCCATTTTTAAGGCATTAAACTGAGAAGAACCACTGAGGAAAGCATGCCACGGTCTTTCCCAAAATCCCTGTGCCTTAAGGAACAACCAAGAAGTTAACTGGTCAGGGAAAAGATTTCTTTTGGGATTTCAGGTAAGCAAAACCAAGACGCCGTCGGAGACACCCTTGCCTGCAACAGTTGTGGTACAAAGCAAGGTAAGTAGCGTGATAATCACTGCTTTTTGTCCCACAGAAGCCATCGCTGTGTGCAGAAATCCATGACCTGCCCATGACTTCTACAACCCGGAGGACTTGCCTGACATTACTGAAATGCACAGGGGACAGATTCTGTGGCAGGTGCCGCATTTTATCCAGCTCACTCGTGCTAGTTCCTAAGACATCTTAATTCTTACACGTACGCATAATCGTGATATTTTGCCATGAATTACAATATGTTCCACAATTATCGACCATTTTAATTTTTAGCTTTCTAACCTGGGACTACTATAATAAAAAGAATTAATAAATCCAAAAGTAGTAGTGGAAAAAAAAAAATGTCTCCAGGTTTATTCCTGTAAAGTTAATTAGTTGATACAGAGTGAGGACTCTAAGAGTTTGGGTTTTTTTGTTTGTTTGTTTTTTGTTTTGTTTTGTTTTGTTTTGCGTTAAGTATCAGCATTAGGTATCTTCAAGACAATTCAAAATAAGATGAATCAGATGATAAGTCATTTAGTTGTAAATTTCACAAAAATAATTAAATACACAGTGTCGGACTACAGCGGAACAGTGGGAAGAACATTCAGTGTTTGAGAGTAAACAACCCAAATTAAGATAAGTTGTTTAGGAATCTCACAGACAGGAACATTTTTCTCTCTGGTTTTCCATGGTAGCATGTTTACAGTACTTGAAAAATGTTGCTTTCAAGTCATGTTAACTGCTTCTTAAGACCATCAAATAAGAAATGATATAGCTTATTAGTTCCAAAATAGAAAATCCCATACATCATTTCCTCTTCATGTTAAAGTTAATTTCCATTATAAATATACCCTTTCAGTATAAAATGCTCGACCTCAAAACATACCAGCTTTTGCCTTTTGAACTATAATCCTGATCCATAAATGGTGATAGAGCTTCAGCTACATCTCAAACATTTATGTTCCACTCTCTTTATCAAAGAGTGATTTATTTTAAGGGAAACATTTATCAATTTAAGGTGTCTGAAATGTTCATTTTTTTTTAAAAAGGCTATAAACAAGTAGCAAGAAGAAGAATATGATTTTCTATGGGTTACGTTACATATCAAAAAATCCTAAAATATTTCATCACTTTGATGCACTATTCTCAATTTTTAAACACTCATTGTCTGAAAGTGAGACAGATATTTTAATGATGATATGTAAAAATAAACCAGATGTATGGTGTTGGGTCTCTGTCGTTGCCTATATATTTAGATGTCTACCAAAAAAAAATCCAGATTTTCTGCTTTTCTTAATCTCAAATGCTCAAAATGACTACATTTTCTAGAATATTTACCTATTGGCTGATTGTTAATTGTTGAAAAGGAAATCAGACTAATTTTGGCAATATTGTGCCTTACTACAAATCCTGTTTGTACTATGAGAGTGGAGAAAAATAAAATTTGCAGAATTCCAGTCTCTAGCCATTGGCATTTTCTGGGCTTTCTTGTTTTCTATGTATTGAGTCCCTTGTGCATATGGGAAGCTCGGCTGAGGACTAATGCAAACATTTTACCCACAAGCCAACATGTCGCCACTAAAAATATACCTAAAAATAAACATAAATAACATGTAAAAGTGCTCTGTCCTCAACAAAGCAGAAGGGTGAGATAAAGCCGTCTGTAGTTGCCGTGACATTCTGACCAGTCCAGTAGAAATCGCATGATTCTTTAGAATATCTAACTCTCTATCTAACTCTTTCCTCTATCCACTTTGTAGCGATATTGCTGGGATAGCCTGAGACAATTTCAGACAGGTTTGGGGCTCAGGAAGACATGCAATGCATTGTTGTGCACGATCTGGCTGGAAGGGTGTAGTGCGAAGTAAAATTAAGACCTCCTCCTTTATTGTGAGGCACAGTTGGGCTGTTTGATCTCTAAGTCCTCGGGTAATTGGAGTCTGCACAGCCTGTAGATTTGGGTCCTGAGCAGCTCACCCTCATGCCCAAAGCCCACCGCTGACCTGCCTGGGGCACCATTTATCCCCACCCAACCCCCACCAAACACACACACACACCAGATTCAGCTTGTATTCAAGGTTCTGCCTTGACCACAGGCATTGTTTCCAAGCTGAAAAAATGATGATGTGGAAATTCTAATGGAAGACATACTGTTTGTTATCAGGTACACAAAAGTAAACAGAAATGATCCTGGGGTCTAAGCAGCCCCCTGCATTTGGGAGATTCCCTCATCACATTCCACAACCCTCCTTTCAATAACGGTGGCTTTCTGATCGAACTTCACTGTCACAGGCTTATTTTTTCACGCTGAATTTCCATGCAATCCACCTGTCCACCTTAGATCACTGTGCGCTCGTCCTCCTCTGGGCCTCTGAGGTACCAATGGTTGCTTTACACTCCATTCATTCAACAAATATTTACTGGACACCTACCGTGCGCCAAGCACTCAGCTAGCTGGGAGCCCTGTGGTGAATAGTAGTGACATGCTTCTCAACAAGGATGGCGATAAACTGACCCAGCTTGCCCAGAACAGAAGAGATTTTCAAGACACGGTGCTTTCAGCTTTTAAAGTAGTATAGTCCCGGACAAACGGGGGCAAGTTGGTCACCCTATAATGATTCTAGCACATACTGTCTTCCAGGGCTTCTCGTCGTCTTAGAAAGAAGTTTGTGCCCCTGTTCACAAAGCAGAGTCCTTCACACGTGTTTTCAGATCTACTATCTGGAAGCTCTGCATGTTTGAGCTAGGCAGAGCTATCGCGGTTAGCCCAGCCACCTGCGTCCTTGCCTTAATCACCATGGGGTAGACCCAGGTTTGAGAAGCCTGAAGTTTATACAATCCGATGGGTGGCGGGGGGGCAATGCTCTCTTTAAGAAAAAGAAGACAAAATTATCAATACGGAATACAGAGCCTTGAGGGAGGGAACTTGCAAGACAGGACCCTGAAGCTTAAGCTTCTTTAGCTTCTCTGACAATCCTCCTTTGTTTAAAATAATAATAATTAGCAGTTAACATTAACTTGTTTAATCCTCACAGGTGGGGTCATTATTTCCATTTTACAGATGAGAAACTTGAGGTCCCAGGAGTTTGGGTAACTTGTCTTTGGTTATTCACCAAAGTTGGATTTTTTTTTTCCTTTTTTTTTTTAAAATTCCAGCCTGGGTGACAGAGTCTCGCTCTGTCACCCAGGCTGGAGTGCAGTGATGCTATCTCGGCTCACTGGAAGCTCTGCCTCCAGGGTTCACACCATTCTCCTGCCTCAGCCTCCCAAGTAGCTGGGACTACAGGTGCCCACCACCACACCTGGCTAATTGTTTTGTATTTTTAGTAGAGATGGGGTTTCACCATGTTAGCCAGGATGGTCTTGATCTCCTGACTTCGTGATCTGCCCGTCTCAGCCTCCCAAAGTGCTGGGATTACAGGCCTGAGCCACTGTGCCCAGCCTGGAAATGTTGACTGGATAGGGGAAGTAAAGATTCAGCCTGCTGGAGCAAGCAAAACTTGCAAAACACAATCTCCTGCTAGGAATTCAACTAACTCTGTTGGTTTAAAACTCAAATCCTTCAGGAACCAGCCAGTCAAAGTGTGTGGGCCCTGAGAGCTTTTGGGTGGAAGGAAGCTTAGAAGAAGCCTGTGTGTGTGTAGCTCTCAGCAAATGAATGTACCCTGTCCACGTCACGCATTTTTCTAGAGAATGATGGGAGCTGTGATCTGTACTTCCGTGTGCATAATGGCTGTACCTGGGTCTCTCCCTGTCCCTGCTCCAGGAAGGCGCTGGATCCTCCCAAGTCCATGGTGATCCTGTGAGAGATCGTCTTCTGGCCTTGTGTTTTTTTGTTTGTTTGTTTGTTTGTTTGTTTTAGCACAACCCGTTTTCTACTTCTTCACTTCCCTTCTTGGTGCTCAGCCTGTTCCAGCCGCACTGTCAACATGCCTTGGTCCATAGCTCTGGAAGGCACCCACCAAGCAGGGGCAGTGAACAGAAGATGAGGAGGGTACACTTTGACACCTGGGTTGGAAACCTGGCTCCGTGACCTAGGACCAGTCACTTAACTTCTGTGCCTCGGTTTCCCCATTCTGTCGACTGGGGATGATGAGAGTCTATGTCTCACTGGGTTGTAGTGAGGAATGAATGAGGAAGTACAAATGCTGTGCCTAAAGCAGGGCCTGGTGCACAGTAGTATGATAAGTGTCATTATTATCATCATCCAATTATCATGATTTCTGGCAAGTGGGCACTTCCGTTCAGAAATCTCAGTGAAGAGACAGGACCGTACAAGAATGCAGGCTGAGCGTTTGAATGGCCATTTCCATTGAGAATCAACGGTGACTTATTTTGCAAGTCCCCATCCCCTCAATTGTCTCCCATCGAAGTGGGCTCATGGTTTAGTCCGTCTGTCCATGGGCCCCATGCTTTCCCTAGAAATGACGCATGAAATAGCACCTCTTAGGCTCACATCAATTGCTAATTAAAATGGCGTTACCCCTGAATAGGTTGCAAAGCAGGACTCTCATTTTCCCACTGTGCATTTCCAAAGGCTGGACCCGGGCATCGACCCACCTGGGGTGACTGAGACTCTCGGGAGAGGGAAACTGGGCGTAGGACAATAAGTTAGGCAACTTCAGAATCTGCACATTGTTCCTGACAAATAACAATATAATAAAGCCAGAAACGTGCTTGCACCCATCAGTCACAGGTGCTGATAAGAGTTCACCTAATTACTTCATTATTTTTTGCCACTCCACAGAGCAGTTTGTATTTACAATCCTGTATATGGTTCTATTACTACCACTTATTGTGACGATTCCAGCAATTCCGAGGAGTCTCGGAGGGCCTGGACAAGTAGAATCTTGTTTTTCTTGATTTCCCCCGGGGGGTGGGAGGTAGGAGGAGGTAGAGAGAGGAGGGGTTCAGAGGAAAAGCATCCAGCCAGCATCAACCCACAATTGCTCATCTCAGATGAGTGATAAATGATGGGTGATTTTTGAAACGCTAGAATTTTCAAACAAAACAAACATATCCTATCCTATTAGTTACCAGGCAAGCCTATAACACAGTAAGAAAGGGAGAAAGACAGGGTTGGGCTGCCCTGGGCTGGCACCCATGCTGGAGAAGTGATCAGGACCCTGGCTTGGCATCATTACGTTGGAAGCCGAGCTGGAAACCATCCCTAGGGACTTGTCCTAATGAACACGGGCCACAAATTAACAAAGTTGGGTGGGAAAAACATTGTGAATTTTAGTCACTTGAGCATCGGTAAATCTGCTAGAAGTCAGGGCTGATTGCTTTTAGCTTGTTAAGATGTTGATTGTTTATAAATTACGTTTTCCCTTGAAAAAGCAGGCACCTCTCAGCGGCTC